TGTACTTACAGTAGGCTGGGACTGTGAGTCTAGTGATTACTGTTTGGACCGGAGCCCCCACATCCCCCTTTTTGGGGGGGGGGGGAAGAAGGAGGGGAAGGGATAGCAGGAGCTAGACTGACCCTACCTTAACAAGCAGCCGGCAGTCAAACTATCACTTTCGGGGTGGGGGAAAAAAGGCGGGAATAGCGGGAGCTTGACTTACCCTACCTTAACAAGTAGCCGGCAATGAAACTACTGTATTACTTTCGGGGAGGGAAAAAAAGGCGGGAATAGCGGGAGCTTGACTTACCCTACCTTAACAAGTAGCCGGCAATGAAACTATTGTTACTATATACTCCCTCTCTACTCCTATCTATTGAACTTTTCCCTCACACACAGTTACTAAAAACAAGACATAGCCCCACTCCACAAAAGGGGCAGTAAAGCAACAGCAAAGAACTACAGACCGATAGCACTAACATCCCATATCATAAAAATCTTTGAAAGGGTCCTAAGAAGCAAGATCACCACCCATCTAGAAACCCATCAGTTACACAACCCAGGGCAACATGGGTTTAGAACAGGTCGCTCCTGTCTGTCTCAACTATTGGATCACTAAGACAAGGTCCTAGATGCACTAGCAGATGTAATATATACAGACTTTGCAAAAGCCTTCAACAAGTGTGACCATGGCGTAATAGCGCACAAAATGCGTGCTAAAGGAATAACAGGAAAAGTCGGTCGATGGATCTATAATTTCCTCACTAACAGAACACAGAGAGTAGTAGTCAACAGAGTAAAGTCCGAGGCAGCTACGGTGAAAAGCTCTGTTCCACAAGGCACAGTACTCACTCCCATCTTGTTCCTCATCCTCATATCTGACATAGACAAGGATGTCAGCCACAGCACCGTGTCTTCCTTTGCAGATGACACCCGAATCTGCATGACAGTGTCTGCAATGGAAGACACTGCAAGGCTCCAGGCGGACATCAACCAAATCTTTCAGTGGGCTGCAGAAAACAATATGAAGTTCAACGATGAGAAATTTCAATTACTCAGATATGGTAAACACGAGGAAATTAAATCTTCATCAGAGTACAAAACAAATTCTGGCCACAAAATAGAGCGAAACACCAACGTCAAAGACCTGGGAGTGATCATGTCGGAGGATCTCACCTTCAAGGACCATAACATTGTATCAATCGCATCTGCTAGAAAAATGACAGGATGGATAATGAGAACCTTCAAAACTAGGGAGGCTAAGCCCATGATGACACTCTTCAGGTCACTTGTTCTATCTAGGCTGGAATATTGCTGCACATTAACAGCACCTTTCAAGGCAGGTGAAATTGCTGACCTAGAAAATGTACAGAGAACCTTCACGGCGCCATAACGGAGATAAACACCTCAATTACTGGGAGCGCTTGAGGTTCCTAAACCTGTATTCCCTGGAACGCAGGCGGGAGAGATACATGATTATATACACCTGGAAAATCCTAGAGGGACTAGTACCGAACTTGCACACGAAAATCACTCACTACGAAAGCAAAAGACTTGGCAGGCGATGCAACATCCCCCCAATGAAAAGCAGGGGTGTCACTAGCACGTTAAGAGACCATACAATAAGTGTCAGGGGCCCGAGACTGTTCAACTGCCTCCCAGCATACATAAGGGGGATTACCAACAGACCCCTGGCAGTCTTCAAGCTGGCACTGGACAAGCACCTAAAGTCGGTTCCTGACCAGCCGGGCTGTGGCTCGTACGTTGGTTTGCGTGCAGCCAGCAGTAACAGCATGGTTGATCAGGCTCTGATCCACCAGGAGGCCTGGTCACAGACCGGGCCGCGGGGGCGTTGACCCCCGGAACTCTCTCCAGGTAAACTCCAGGTAAGTACTATATGAAAATAGACCACAAAGTCGGCATTTTAATTAAAAAAAAAACGGTCGGAGTTTTTTTTTTTCTCATTATGCACTGCATGCTCCATGATTTTTTTTATGTGGTGCACACTGACCACACAGACCCATTCTCTCACATGTGGGCCTACCAGGTTTCTCCTTCTTGATTTGAAGCCGCTAGAATTTATGAGTATATATACGTCAAACACGGTATCTCGTAAGACGTATATATACAGCCACGACAGTCAAAGGGTTAACATTACTGTAATAAATAAAATAATTTCAAGAATGAGAGAATGATCATCAGGAACCTAAGCTCTAGAAAAGAGATGTGCTTTAAATCAAAAGTTGAAATCATGAATAGACTCCTGATTTTTAACAGACACTGACAACTTGTTGAACAATCTAGGAGTTACATTAACAAAAAAAAGGCTCTTTCTGCAAATGGCTTCTCCCCACCTGCATGAGACTCATCCTAAAAAGGTCTGCATCAATTTGCAGAAACATTCCCAAACCTGATTCAAGTGGTACAAGCATATCAGGTAGATATTTTTTTTTCAACACACTGGCCATATCCCACCAAGGTAGGGTGATCTAAAATGAAAAATGAAAGTTTTTCTTTTTTAAATTTAGTAGTAGGCAGATACTTGAGTACAATAAACTTAATAACTTTAAATGTTTATTAACATTTAAAGTTCTTCTTCTTTCAACAAACCGGCCGTGTCCCACCGAGGCGGGGTGGGCCAAAAAGAAAAGCAAAAGTTTCTCTTTTTAAATTTAGTAATTTATACGGGAGAAGAGGCTACTAGCCCCTTGCTCCTGGTACTTTAGTTGCCTCTTACAACACGCATGGCTTACAGAGGAAGAATTCTGTTCCACTTTCCCATGAAGATAAGAGGAAATAAACAAGAACAAGAACTAGAAAGAAAATAGCAGAAAACCCAGAGGGGTGCATATATATATGCTTGTACATGTATGTTTGGAGGGATATGTTGTGTATCTTTATATGTATATGCTTCTAAACTGTTGTATTCTGAGCACCTCTGCAAAAACAGTGATAATGTGTGAGTGTGGTGAAAGTGTTGAATGATGATGAAAGTATTTTCTTTTTGGGGATTTTCTTTCTTTTTTGGGTCACCCTGCCTCGGTGGGAGACGGCCAACTTGTTGAAAAAAAAAAAAAAAAACCTGTATGTGTAGTGTGACCTAAGTGTAAGTAGAAGTAGCAAGACGTACCTGAAATCTTGCATGTTTATGAGACAGAAAAAAAGGACACCAGCAATCCTACAATCATGTAAAACAATTACAGGCTTTTGTTTTACACTCATTTGGCAGGACAGTAGTAACTCCCTGGGTGGTTGCTGTCTACCAACCTACTACCTAGAACATTTAAAGCTATAGACACAAAATTCCCTGTGGAGAGGAATACAAAGATGCCATTTTCCTTCAAATTTATTGAATGTAATATTCCTGCAGGTCTTAATAATTTAGCATGTAGAAATACAATGATAAGGAGTACTGTACAAACAAATCACATCCCAATGAAGTTCAAACACATAGAGATTATTTACTTTATGCAGGTTTGATAAAAGCAGTTGACATGCTAGAGAAACACTTGTAAACCAAGATAAACTTTTGTCTCATAAAAAGATATAATGTAGTTGGAAACTATATCATTCACTTCTCAATAATAGAAAACAAATCAATGAAATTATTTTATATTTTAGAAGAATGCTATTCTACAAGATAATTTATTCAATAAAACTCATTCTGATAAGCTGGCAAACATGTTAGATCCATTACAAAGTAACAGGACTATCTTAGTCCTGCAACTTATGAAAGGAAGACAAGATGGAGTTACCTGGGACACCTTTAATCTTAATCCAAAACTATTAAAAAAAAAAAAAAAAGGTATCTAAATACAATATTCAATAATAAAAATATATCCTGTATTGTACTAAATATGGATTAACAGCTACAGGAGCAATTTATGCTTCATTAACTATAAAAAATTAAAACTAAATTAGTATTATCATGACTGAGGAGGCTGTGGCATGCCTTGCTGTTTCTGGAGTTGATGTTGCTGTAACAGTTGTATGTGCTTACTTTTGATAGCTTCTAATTCATTGACACGAGTTCTTGCATGATCCAAGCGGTGCATCGCCATTTGTAAGGTCTTCTGTGAGTTGTAACTGGATCCTTCATGTGCTTGTCCTGTTTACCAGTTGTTTATTACAAACACATTGTTAATCTATATCGTCAAAGGTTCTAAATTACCTATTCTTAAAATTTTAAGAGCCTACAGCTTGCTGGTCAGTCTAATTATTTTTGGCATACTAGATCACACATATATATAGTAAAAGATAAAACTATTATTACAAATACTGAAGCAGGGAGCGAGGTTATTAAAAGTATTATCCAGAGGGCTGAGGAGGGGATATTGAGGTGGTTTGGAAAATTCGAGAGGATGGAGCAAAATAGGAAGACTTGGAGGGTTTATAAATCTGTAGTAGAGGGAAGAAGCAGGGATCGTCCTAGGAAAGGCTGGAAGGAAGAGATAAAGGGTTTTTTTATGCAAGGAGCTTGGACATCCAACAGACATGTGTAAGCATGTTATATAGGAGTGATCAAAATCAAATGATTTTTATGGCTTAATATGCTGTTGGAGTGTGAGTAAGGTAACAGTTATGAAAGGATTCAGGGAAAATGGTTAACCTCACTTGAGTCTTGGAGGTGGAAAGTATATTGCCTGCATTCTGAAGGAGGGGTGGGGATATGGCAGTTTGGAGGGGCATTTGAGCTGCAGTGACAGCACACCTCTGCAAAACAGTGATGGTGAAAGTGTTTCCTCTTTTTTAGGTCACCCTACCTCAATGGGAGATGACCAGTACATTAAAAAAAATATATATTACCCACTAAGAAGGATGATGAGCCAAGGCAGGTATGCCAAGAAATGTTTTAAGATGGCTTGCAGTAAAGAATGACCTTTACATACTTGTAAGGCATCCTAGGCTCTTGAACCTTTACATATTTGTAGTATGTCATAGACCCTCTAATATTTCTCATTTACATCAATAACCTACCTAATGCCTCCCAGGAACTTTAACCAGTTCTGTTTGTAGATGATACTAATTTTGTCTTCTCTAATCCAGATCTAGGTGTACAGAATTTGAATTTGAATTTGCCTCTACTTACTCCTATCTAAAACATTCACACATGCCTCCTGGATGTCCAAATCCCTTGCATGCAAAACCTCCTGTCAATTACCTTTTCCCTCCAACTTTTCCTAGGATGACCCCATCTTCCTCCTCCACTACAGATTTATACACCAAGTCATCTTATTTTTCTCCGTCCTCTCTAAATGTCTAAACCATCACAATAACCCCTCCTCAGCCCTCTGGTTAATACTTTTAGTAACCTTGCACCTCCTTCTGATCTCCAAACTACAAAGTCTCTGTATAATATTCACACCACACATTGCCCTCAGATGTGACATCTCCACTGCCTCCAGCCTCCTCCTTGCCGCAACATTTACAATCAATGCTTTGCACCCATATAAGGGTACATGTATTGGTATCACTATACTCTATTAACATTTCCATTTTGGCCTCCATGGATAATATGTCTCCACATATGCCTCAATGCACCGCCCATCTTTTTTACATTCCTCAATTCTATGCTTCACCTTATTCACAAACCCACCGATGACAGGTCCACCCCAAAATTTCTGATACATTCCTTCCCCCCACTTTTTTTTTTCCAAATCAATAACCAGTCTTTTCATTACCAAAAATTTTTTTGTTTAATCTCATCACCTTGCCTTTTCTATTTTAACTTTTAAACCCCTTTCTTTTACATGCCCCCCCAAATTTGTCCCCCAACCTTTTAAAGGCTAAAATTTACAGCAATTAAAACCCTTTATGGGCATTTGTCCTTACAAAAACCCTAGTGTATAGTTTTTTAATTAAATTCAAATGATCTAACCTCAACTTAAAATGTCAAGCCTGTCCCAGGGGCTTTTCCAAAGAAGAAATAAATTTCACTTTTTTTTGTAAAAATATAAATCCATTTGAAATAAATTTAGTTTTTTGTATGACTGCAAGGATTGGCACTAATCTGCATACGTATATCACAGCAATAAGAGTAATCCTGTAGATACCTGTGTAAGGTAGTTAATTTGCTTGGGCCAACTTTTTCTCATTGGTGAGGTCTACAAACTGTTTTACATGGTTCAACCTTTATTGGGCTGGTTTTCCTGCTCAAATTTGTCAAAAGGGCCCGACCCAAAATACAAAGACTTAATGAACTAAATACGTACTAAAAAAATAAGAAGAAAAATAAGCAAAAAAAAAAAAAAAAAAAAAAAAAGAAAAAAGATATAACTGATAATTTTATTTTTATTATTAATCGGACAACTGTAACCCAAACAGAAAACCGTACCATGGGTACTCTGGATAAAACCCATTACGTACAATATTGCTTAGTCAAAAACTACCCATTTTTAGTCAATATATTTTAGTACTAATAAATTCCCCCCACTTGAAATTAACTAATACATGGGAAGGAAAGTCTGGAATTCCACCATGTAAAAGACATTTTATTTTAGGAAAAACTCTTTTTTTCTTTACTTTCTAAATGGGGGGAAAAGCCCAGCTGGGGTAGGCCAGCAGATGCCTAACCCTTAAAATTGGGTCAACTGTTAAAGGGTTTCAGAATATACCTAAAGTTTCCCAAAATTTGGAAGCAGCACCTTAAAAGAAAAAAAACCAACAAAAATTTCATTGTACCTGTAAAAAGAAAAAAAATATTTTCTACCTGCCAATATTTATTCTGATGTAGTCCTTTTGGGGTTATACATAAGAGATATTTATGTTAGAAATATTTATTAAGTTTCAGACTATTAACCTTTTCCAAATACTTAAAGAAAAACAAAAAAATTACTTTTTTAAATAGAAAAACATAGATTTTTTTAAAAAAATTTTTACATACTGCATTTTTTATAATTATGGGGGGCTAAACCGTAGGGATTAAAACAGAAAACCTGGGGGGAAGAAGGAGGGTTTTCAGACTTAATTTCAGGGAATGTTAAACGGGCAAATAAGTATCTATAAAATTTCACCCCTTTTTAAAATACAATACGGGGGAAATTTTTATAAGGTGTCTCATAGACGATGGTAGCGCAGTCCCCCCATGCTGAGGTCTGGGGAGTTACCTTTTTAATATTATTTAAAAAACAAGGGAAGCGCTAAACCCTTAGGATTTTTTCACCCTTTGGGGGGGGTGTGGAAAAGCATTCAGGCTTAATTCGGGGAACTGGGACCACAGACCCCAATTTCCCCTAAATCAAGAGCCCCTCACCAACTAAAGGAATTTTTTCCCTGGGGGGGGTACTGTTTACCTCTATTTTGTTATAGTTCACTGCCCTTCCAATCATGTCCTAAATCTGTATTGATAAACCCAAGGTGGGCAACGTTTATAAGATACCAGATGGGGGCACGTTCAATTTTTCAACCACAACTGAAACTTTTGTACCCAAAATCTAAATCTTCTTAATATTAAACCTAAAATGAACTTTTAATGATAAAAGGCACCTCAGACTGTAAAACATGGCTATTCCTTCTCTATATTATCCAACATGTTTGTCCATTGGTATGCCATCGCCTTTTGGGAAGGATTAATATTCAAAAAAAAAATTTAAAATGCAAAATCGTCGTGTGACACAGCAGCCGGGTGCACTTTTCCCTTGTGTTTAAACTTTTATGATTATTCTCGGTTAAACATTATAATCACAAATGAATAACTGATTTTAAGCTGAAAACAAGTTAATTTTTCGTGTAATTTGAACTGTGTTTTGTTTTGTTATTTTTTTGTTTGGGTTTAAAAAAGGCCCCACGCAGCTTACGTACAGCGAACCCAACTGCCCGATGATGTGAAAGAAATAATAATAATAATAAAAAAATAATAATAATAAAATAATAAAAATAAAAAAAATTAATAATAATATAAAATAATAATAATTTAAATATAATTTTCAACAAGTCATGTAAAAGGGTTTTAAACGCCCCACAGCTGGACACAAGCATATACTATAAGAAAGCAGCATTTCGGGCATTTTTGGTCAGTTTTGTCCCAGGGTCGCCCACCCCAGTCCACTAACACCCAGGTACCTTTTTTACTGATGGGGAACATAGACAACCGGTGTGAAAATTTTGTCTGGCTGCTCCAAGTAGTCCCCTCCCGGGCAAACTCTTTTGACACCAGCTCTGGAGGGGTTACCTAGCCTCCAAGGGGCCCTTATAGGACAATTTTTCAAAATGATTGGGTTTGCAAAAACCCCGCCTGCAGCACGTATAAAGGACAATTTTACGGGGTGTTGCACATTTTCCTGATTTTTCAACTTCCTAACCTAGCTTTAGCCCCCTGGGGACTTCCCCTTGGGAATCCGTGAACCCGGGGAGCTTTAATTCCTGAAATTAATCGTTTTATTGTCCCCCCTGACCTCAAAAATTTCCTAAACCAAGAGGGATTACCCCCAGTATAATAGCAGATCGGCTAGTTTTTCAGACGACTCGGAACCTGGTACTTACGGGGGCATACTCTTCTTAGCACGCCGACCCCCTCAGTCACCAACTCACAATCTCCTAATCATGGCCAGACCCTACGGGAAAAGGGTTTAAATTTATGTTTTTACTGTGGGGGCTGAGGGAGGAGATCATTACGGTACATCGGGGTGTCTCTCCCAAATTTTCCCCCCAGTTAGATGGAAGACAAGTGGGGGCGCCGCCTGTTTTTACGGACCTTTTTGTCCATCGAAGTCAACGTAAAAAGGGACGTTTCTGCTTTTGACCGGGCCCCCCCCGCCAATCAACTAGGCTGCCAGTTCCCCTAGCTAATTATCTGGTTTCCTACATTTCGGCCAATTATACCTTTTTAAGGTTTTAGGTCTCTCTATCATTATCTCAGATGCCTTAGTAAACCTAATATTGGTTTTCCCAGAAAACCTCCACTCCTTCCCTGAAAGTAAATCTAAAATTTAAAATAAGGCTTACCAACCGCCAACCAAAAATGCCTTGCTTGTTTGGGGGTTTTAAGGGCCCCTCGGGCCAGAGACCAGACGCTCATGGGTCTGAGCTGTGGAATATTGGCCCCAAAAAAAATTTTCCACATCCTCCCGCCGGCGAAGGAAGGCGCTAAGTCTAGATCAAGTCTGCCTCCCGCGGGCCCCCCCCAGGGGGGCCCTGGCTCGGGCCGTTCGGGGGTCGTCCGGCCGCCAGCCACTAAACCCTCTGGTCGATTTCCATTCCCGGTCCCACCGTGTGGACCCGAGGGGAAAAAAGCCTTTTTGAGGGGTCTTATAGTCTCACCCCGTTCATTCCACTTTCACCTTTCTCAACCCCCCCACCTTGTTGGGTGGGTTGCCCATACCGGGCCAAAGGCCAGGTGCCCCGGCGCCTGGGTTTCCCACCGCACCAGGTCCCCTTCACTTAGCACATCTTATTCGCCTGGGGGGTCGGCACCATAAAAATGTTCCCGCAAGGTTTCAAGTAATCCCTCGCCACACTGGTTCCATTTTCCAGGAGTTCACCAGTTTTTTTTGTGACTCCTTGCGTTTTTCCCATTGATGGGGGGGACCATCTCCCCAAAATAATCCAGCTCCGGGAAAAATGACTCAAAATTGCGGGAAGGCTCAATCCTTTTCCAAACCAAAATGTGATTGGGGTGAAGCTTCTTGCTCGCAATCCCATTTTGACTAGGTCAGGGCCTGTTTTAACCTTCCCTTTTCTAACTAACACTGTCCTCATTTTCATCCAGCCACCCCCTCCGGCAAGCCCTTCCGAATCCCCCTTTTGACTGTCCCCACCAGCGTTCAAGAACCCCTTCCCCAGGTGCCCTGGGAGCAAAGAACCCCCCGCACTTATTTTTCAGGTTTCTCGATTTTCTCCGTTGCCCCCAAAGTTCTGAAAATTTTTATTGGGCCGCCCAAAACTTGTGCCATTGCCCGAGATAATCAATCGGGGGCACGAGAATCGGCTTAAAACCTCCTGAAAAATTTCACAAAATCTCTGCGTCAATTTCTCCCAAACCCAAATGCACCGCCGAGTATGGCACGGGGTAAAAGGCGACATATACTTTCGAGGGCCCCCCTTTAACGCCCCTCCTGGGTTTCAATGGTACCCCCGTAAGCTTTCCTACATCTAAAAGGGGGCCTGTCACTTTACCCGCTCCTGGGGCAGGGGTGGTGGACCTGGGGTAGGGTAGGTTCCCATCTTTAAGCCGGCAGACCGGAACTCTTTACACCCTTTTTGACGGCAGCTCGACCCTTCAGTACCCAGAAATTTTGAGTAGGCAGGTGAGGGTACTCCAAACCCCCCCATTAAGGTCCTCTGAGGGGCATTTTTGATAAACTCTGTCGCCACCCTCCTTTCCCAGCAGCCGGGATGTTTGGCCCCATCTGAGCTCAGATTTTTTGTATTTTCCCCTGCATCTTATTAGCCCCGCATGATCAGGAACAACCCCCAATGAGTAAACCCAAATT